GAAACACAAACTGTATATTTAGTTGTGCTACAAGTCCCAAATGTGGACATTTTAAGGACTAACAACAAGATTAGGGGAAGCCAGCAAGTCCGACAAACATGCGTATCTGTTAAATGGCTTCTTGGATGTGAATCATCCACAACGTTTTCGCCCACGATTTAAAAGGTTAAAACAACGGGCTCGTATTCTGTCCACAGACGTTACTTAACTCGAACTATGGGCGAAAAACACAATATTTGCACGTTTACCGTAGCGCTAAGTGTCTAAATGAGTGTAGACAATTTTCCCCACACCGCTCATAAATAATAATGCTCGCTGAGGGTCCTAATGCAGATTCACGACTCAGAAAGCAAATCCTGATATTAATAAATAGGGCAATAGAGTTAATCAAGCCCGCTCCCAGCAGTGGCGCGGGCCGAGCCCTTCGGTCCTAAGGGATACGTGGAATCTAACTTGTTGGGCTTTGGGGTCTTGAGACGTTCAGTCACGGCCGATAATAAAATGCAAACCCCTTAAATTAGGAGACGTTAGTGGACTTAACGATGTTTGCCGGTGGTAAACTCAAATAAAACAGATACTTTACCTAACTGGGCCCTCATCTGCACGACTTATGTTACAAAGTCAATACAGCATCCACTTTCGTCAAAGTCAAACACAACTAAATCAGTCCTTGTCTCGTTATGGTCCGAACACCGGCTCTGTGCTTCTAGAAATTTAATTAGGCAACATGATATGGGTACTGTAATCTACTGTACAACAATGTAGGTAAACAAGGTTTGAGTGCAGGACTAGGAATAACGCTTGATTTTAGTGGCTGCATATGCATCGAAATGCGCAGATTTACTCTGATTAGAATCTTTACCGATAAAGCGTCGGTTGAATTTAACATGTCGCCTTCGTATCGCGCTCGTTACGTTGACAGGATTAACTGCAATCACACGTGGAATTTATTGCGCCACTATCTGCCAGTTAACCAGAATTGTTGTCAAACTATCAAGCTCTCGTCGAAGGCGGTTTTAATCCGGCGCTGGAGGTCAGCGGAGTTTGTTTTGCTCTCTAATAAGATTTCAAGGATTCTTCGGGGTAGTTGTTTTTAAGTGACCCAAGTAACTGCGTAGAACTTCAGTGTCCTCGACAACATCACAAACTAATTTACAGTAAAGCAACAGATGTTTAGAACTTTTGATTTTGTTATGTCGAGTTAAGTAACACTGTAAATTGTAAGCAACATCCTTTTATTTATGCTTTTTTTTTAAATCAGTTTATAATTACACAAATGGAGCAACTATTTTGTTCTCTTTTCATTAGGTGACATATTGTCATATTTAACTGTATTCGAACTTGCGATCCAGGGATATCGAGCTACAGACATTTGAAGTCCACCAGCTTAAGGCGACAATATTAGGTTTCAAATTTAATCCACATCCTTTGCCTTATTTTGACGAGAAATGACGAGATTTTTGATACCCATTGAAGTTTGGTATTTTGATTATAAATTATAACGTGTCTTAATTGTCTCAACCCGTCCTATACTCTCAATTTTTGTTAGTTAATCTTGCTCAATTCAAATCAGCCATCATTTAAATTTTGATGTTTTACTTGCTTAGCGTAAGCAAAATTTTGCAAGGTAAATGCTATTTCAATTTTATGAAATAGGATACTCCTGTATTTGTGGTTTATTTTTCCACCTAATTTTTTTATTATCATTTTATTTTTTTTGTTTAATCTTTCTAATAGTAAAACTGTCCCGCGCTCGAACCCCAGCATCTCCAAGTTTTTTATTGATCTTATCAAGAATGCTACACCCAATTTTCCCGAAAATTGTAAAATACTGCGCTGCTATTATTAGCATTACACTGCATCTATTCAAATTGATATACGTGCCCTTGCTGAAATATTTTATTATGCAAAATTCACTTTAAACGTGGGTATAGCATGTTTCCTTATCTGTATTTTCACAGTTTACACATATCCTTATTTTAAATTAAAGGGGTTATCATCGCAAAAATAAAATTTCTTGAGTTAATTTTATAACTTTTCCGAGAAGCTATATTATATTTATTCGCTTGTGCTTCAGCGACGAGGGAACTTCTGTCTAAATAACTTTAGACTAATTTTTTACTGATATAATATCTAAGATGTAACTCGTTGGTTTAATATTCTAAAAAATGATGAACTGACTTCAGTTTTTTTTGTTTGAAGGCTGTTTTATTGGGATGGTTTTTGACTACGTATGATAATAATCACTTTAGCTATTGCAAGATCATCAGCTCATAACATAGTTGGTGTTGGAATCAGTCCTGTTCGCGCGAGAGTCGAGGTAGCCTGTCGACCGTCACAGCGAATCTCAACCAACTTCACATTTTTCAAGAGTGTATTTTTTTTGGGTCGGGTGTTTAACACTTATTCATACTGAAGTATTATGGCTGACAGATAAGACATATTATGGTCGCAGAACATTTTCAGGATAACAGTTTTATAGTGAGTAAAGTTTCCCATATAAAAGCAAAATAGTTTTAGGTTTCGGCAAGCATACAAATTTTTTCTACTCCTATATATGAAAGTAGACTTTTTCCCATCGTTTACCCTTAACGAAAACATCATTTTCACTTCTAGAAGTGAAAACACTTATTCATTCTAGAAGCGACTGCTATGTGAAAAGTGAAAATTTAAAGTTTAAATCCACTGAAAATTTAAGTATCTTTTTGTAATTTGATCAACTGTTAAGAAATGAAATATGACTACCTATTTAAATTGAAACTAAATTGATTAAAACTGATTAATAAATTTGAATAAAAATTAAACAAAAATGTTTGACGCAGCAAGATCTGCATACGTCTAAGCAACCAGTAGCGCTAGTCAAGTAGTCATATTGTTTATTCTACGTGATTGTTTTATTTCGTAATGACATATTAGGTTTCAAATTGTGTTCCTAATTTATTGAAAAAGAAAAGCTATGTCTGATTCAGAAGAATCGCGTAGTTCCACACCACCTTGTGTGATACAAGCAGCAACATCCGCTTCAAATGATATCTTACCACAAAAATCCCAACAGAGATATCAGTTTGTATACGAAAAATTTATAACTTGGCGGAAGGACAACCGAATGACATCTTTTTCCGAAAATGTCTTGATGGCTTATTTCGGTACATTGTCAAACAGTCTGAAGCCCTCCACATTATGGAGCATGTATTCTATGCTACGAAGTGTAATAAGTCTGAAACATGATGTTGATATTTCTAAATACCTCAAATTAAAAACTTTTCTAAAAAGGAAGTCGACGGGTTTCAAATCTAAAAAGGCAAAAGTATTGAATTCGGAACAAATTCAGTTGTTTATCGATAAAGCAAATGATGAAAAATTCTTGTTCACGAAGGTAAGTTGAGTTGAGGTTGTGTTTTATAATGTTTCATACTAGACTATTTGAAGGTTGTTCTAATATTTGGGATCTGTGGGGCCTGTCGTTCACATGAATTAAAAGATTTAGAAATTCAAGATGTTCAAGATTTAGGAAGCGCTTTATTTGTGACTATTCCAAAGACAAAAACACATTTACCTCGTTCATTTACAATTGTTAATACCCATTATAAAATCTGCAAGAGATACATCAATCTTCGTCCACAAGGAATAGACAATACGACTCGTAGATTTTTTTTGAATTACCAACATAACAAGTGCACCCGACAAGTTATTGGAATTAATAAATTTGCATCTGTTCCAAAAGAAATTGCTAAATTTCTCAAATTACCAGATTCACAGTTATATACTGACCATTCTCTAAGGAGATCTTCCACGACACTTCTTGCAAACACGGGTGCTAACATGACTGAAATAAAGCAGCACGGCGGATGGAAATCGCGTTCTGTAGCTGAACAATACATCGAAGATTCGATTACTAACAAAATTAATAGAGGGAAAAAAATTTTTGATTCATTACAGATTAGCAAAAAAAAATATCGGAAGTTTACCACCTATTGAGGGTTCGTTGTCACCTAAGGAGACAGAAATAACAGAAGCAGAGGTTCCTCCTGCATCACATGCACTTGAAGGCAATGTGCCTTCATCAATAATTAATAAAAAAGAAAATAATGCTAAAGCAGCAGGTGTTGTACATAATTATTATAACTGTAATTTTCAATATATTACAAAATAAAATTTCCTGAAATTTATATGTAGTTAGGTGTGTTTTTTGTCGTAGAAAAAATAGCATTTGCGACTCGAACTGAAAGTCCATTTTTTCGTTCGTTGAGTGTGTTACACTCGTCGCTGCGCGACTCGTGAAACAATACTCAACTCACGAAAAAAGTATGACTTTCACTTCTTGTTGCAAAATATACAGGGTCATTATAAAATATTGTAGTCGAAGAAGGCCATGATTTTGGTGACATTTTGTGCCGCCTTTTTCAGTTTTGTGGAAAGGATTACACTAATATTGGAATTTTTATTTTTTACGCCACATTAGTTGACATTAGCGGCTGCACTGTTTCAACGCTTCATCAAATTCTGTCAGATGTCAATAATTTTTTCGTTTGTACTGGTACGTTTTCCCTCACTTTGTGCGTTAATTGACTTGTCTTGTTTTCATTTTTGCTGTCTTCCCCTTTGTTAGAACTTTAATAAGTGTCTCAAAAAACAGTTTTTATCAAAACTACAGATCATTGTGGAATAATCTCAGGTAATGAACACAGAGGAATAACTATGGTCAGTGTTACAAATGATTTTTTTAGTTCTTTGGCGCAATAATCATGCCTATTACCGTAATGGGGTGTTAAATGAGGATGGGGATGGAGTGTACTCTGTGGAGGCGTCTAAAAACGAGTATCTAGTGAAATGTTCTGTTGTCATTGATGAAGAATCTTTGAAGACGCTATACGGCGAATTATGGCCAGATTTAACGACACTGGTAGCATTTCTAAGTGAAAACCGACGGGGAGACCTCAAGTTAGTGAAGACGTTGTTGAAGATTTAAGGATGAGAATGGAACAAAGTCCGAATAAAGCTTTGTCAAAAATCTTTACTGTCCGGAGTACCATACAGCCCATGTCAGAAAATCGTAAAAGAGAAGTTACATATGCATCCATACAAGATTTTGTTGGTTCAGGAGCTGCAACCAGCTGATTTTCCTTGCCGCGTTGGGTATTGTAGTTGGTTTCAAGCTGATATGGACGATAACGGGATTCTCGATTTGTCGTTCTTTTCTGATGAAGCCTGGTTTCATCTGTTAGGCTATTATGTCAACTGACAGAACTTCAGAATTTGGTGTATAGAAAATACTCACGCTTTTGAAGAAACACCATCACACGCAATGAAGGTTGGTGTGTGGTTAGCTGTTTCCAGACGACGATTCATAGGCCTGATACTTTTTCAAGTAAATGAATGTGATCAATAAACAAAATTAGATGTAGAAAGTGTATGTAGGTACTGCAATAAAGTTTTTTATTTTCAGTAACTTTCATTTTTCTTTCGGTGTTAGTTGCATTCTCTTAATTTAAAACTTACTTCAACTTACTGTTTAGTAATAATTGTAATTTTACTATTAGGAAAGTTAAAAATCTTTATTAAACATTCTGTTGTTTCAAGAGATCTCATAATCATCTACAGAACTCTTAACACTATGCTCCTGAAATTTTATTGGTTTTTTCATCTTTTTTGTTATAGAAATTTTGAAAAATCTTGATATTAGGATGGCCATGTGGGCGTGTTTTGGGTAGAACCTCTTTGACATTCCTGTTATGCAGATCTGGCATGTTTCAGATATCTAGAAACTGCAAAGCTGAAGGTAATGTTTGGACATAGCAGTTTTCACCTATTGTAGGGATGAAGATCAAGGCTTTCAGTTGTGTTTTTTCAAGAGAAAAGCACCGGTCACAAACCATGTCTGCACCAATATTTTGACGATTCCTTACAATTTACAAACAGAACTTTCGCGGGATCACAACTTTGGCAAAATTATTTACTGCAAAAACTCATTAGGTACTCATAGTGTTCGTTAACTGTGATAAGACTTGCTCTGCCATTGTCCATTACGTGATTTTTCACAATTTTTACCTTCAGGGTACCTATAAAAATGTAATTTTTTAAATAATTACCGTGTTCATTGGTTTCGACAAACTTAACCTCACTTTTTGGATTTCATTATTTGAAAAATTATTGCTTCTTTGCAAAACAGACCAGATGATTTATTCTGTTCAACTCCAATCGACTTTCCAAGGTGTAATTCATGACAAAGCCCTTAAACGTTTTTCTGACAATTTACAATTTTTGAAACTGAAATGTATTGCAGTGGCGTTCACAAATGCTCGATAACACTGCAACCCTTAATGCTCTGGCCTGGCGTCTTTTCGTGTCTATTTAAACTGAAATTAAACCGCGAACCGGGCATTTCAATTTTTGACACATCTGACAGATTTGTTTGGACGTTCGTGACATTTCAAAACAGTTCAAATCATTTTGGTGATTAGCGGCACGAGAAAAATTTCATTTGTTTTTCATAGGTGAGTTGACTACAATATTTTATAATGACCCTGTACTATTATCGTAGCAACTGTGTTGAAAATGGGTATAAATTTGTTCAGACAGAACTTGTCTCGTCTCTGAGGCACAATAAAATTCCAATATCTTATTATACTATAAGATTTGATTCTGTAAATTTTAGTTTCTGTGAAAATGATTACAACAAAATATCGGTGGATTATTAAATTATTATATTAATGTCTTTTGATCACTTAGGGCAATATTATAATATTTACTCTCCAAACACCGAAACCACACAAAATATTTTTCGACGCGTTTTGCCAACCACGTTGGCCTTATCTAGACAAAACCAAACTTCATTTTAAAATTTGATTCTGAAATCGAAAATTTCGAAAATTTTGGTGCGGATCAATTAGTAGGGTTTTTAATGAATTAGCTAGTCGAAATGTATATTCCAAAATTGTTTGTGTTTTCAACAACTTTTCCGAAAGCAAAATTTTTTTACCCTTTTTCGACCACCTTCTAAATTATCTAAAAACTTTTGAATCTTTAGAAAATCTTGGCCTGAGACCATCAAAGACTATATTTTTCGAATCAAATCAGTAGGTACGTTGGAAATTATGTCCTAGAGTTTTTTGGAAATTTTTGGGCAACTTTTCCAAAATTCAGTTTTCGAGTACATGAAAATTTGGACTTTTTTCAAGCACCTAAAGAGGTTTTTCTGTAGATTCTCGACCTCTGATTTTTGTGCAACTTTGCCAAAAGCTCAAGTTTTTCAATGAAATGAAGCTTTAGATGTTTTCCTCAGGACCTTAGAAATTTCCTTGACTTTCATTTCTGTGAAAATTTCAACCATTTTTCCGAATCGCCAAAATGAAAAATGCTATTTTGCTATATTTTACTATCAGAATTTGAATTTGAATATTTCGAAAATCTTTTTCTGGGATCAGAAACGCGTTATATTTTTCGAATCAGTATGTCGAGAACTATATCCTAGAATTTTTTGGAAATTTTTGGGCAGCTTTTCAGAAATTTAATTTTTCAACACATGAAAATTTGGAGTTTTTTCGACCACCTAAGAACACTACCTAAAGAGATTTTTCTGTACATTCCCGACCTCCAGAAGGTATTTTGACTTCACTTCTTCAAAAATTTCTACAATTTTTCCAGAAAACCCAAAATGAAAGAAAAATGGGAGATTTGGCAAACAAATCTTAGTGTTGTTCCATTTGCATGTTATTCTTAAAATACATATAAAATTTTACAAAAATCTGTGTACTAAGTAGTTTCTCAGATTATTTTTCTAATAATGTTGCTAACAAGTAACCAAGAATTCGGAATCCTAAAAGGGAGACATACTTTTCCATATTTTACAAGCTGTGGATGATTAAGAAAACATGAAATTAGCCATTTGTGAAATCAGGGTCTGCTTACAATACATCCTTAGCTTAGGCTCTCAAAATAAAAACCATAAAACATCATTTGAGCCTGCGTCAGGGTTTATTTGAGTATTTGGAAAAATAGTTGTTTAATCTAATATTATTTTTTCTCTTAATTTTTTTTTGTTCTTTCCTACTGAGCTCCCAAACTACGTTTTTAAATTTTGTTTGATTTTATAAGAACGGAAAGTACATAGTTCTGTTTAAAAGTTGGCAGAGCCACGTGAATAAAAAGAGCACTAGATATTTTTTCAACACTTTAAATTTTTTGGTAAAATTGAAATTATGCAATAGCGTCTGTGTTGAAAACTAAACGAACATTCAATTGCTAGTAATAATTCCATGATTCCAAAAAAGAAACTTTTTTTTCTCTCATATATGTCTGGACACCTTTGACAGTCTAGATGTATTTACGAATGTATTTAGTGGGTAGCGGCTCTATTTTCTGATCCATCTTCGCTTTTTGGGGAAAAAAGTAATAGGGAAGCAAGCAGTGATATTATCAGCGTTTAGGATTAATTTATTTTCACTGGAAAAGTTATTAACATAATTGAGTAATGTTGTGATTGACTAATCATTAAACAGACGAAAAACATGTCAAAATTTTTGCGTCATATAATGCAAATTTTATTGAACAAACTCATTATTATCCTTCAGATAGCAAATAGTATTCAAATTTTATAAAAACAGCACACTCTTGTCCTTGCAGTTTATGAATCCACCTTGATATTTATAACAACTACTTTACAAAAATCTTTGTGTCATATCTGCTACGTGTTTCAATTATCTGGTTCATGCATATAATAAGCACCTGGTCATCGTATGGGTAAGGCGTTGAGCTTGAGCTCTGCCCGCGTGAGTTCGAATCCCATCCTCGTCGATATATTTTAAAAAAATTGATTTTTTTTTAATGTTTAAATTCGGGTGCGAGGAAAGTTCTGTCTAAATAACTTTAGGCCAATTTTTATTTACCGAGCGTAAGCTAAAGAAGTATTGTAATCGAGTTTATGTTTTCTCCACGTTTCATGACATAACATATTTTATTAGTGTCACTTACAGTTTTTCTTTTAACAATTTGTACTTTTATTTATTTTATTTTTATTTTTGTTAAATCCATTTATTAATGTTTTCTCTTAAATGGTGAATTATGTTGAACAACAAAGGATATTATTATTATTATTATCATAATCTCTAGGATACGAAAAGATAGACCTCCTGTTTCCGTCTGTTTGTCTGCCGTCTACCGTCTGCCATCTGCCATTTTTCCACGTCTGTGTCGACGATTTTTATTAGATTAGGTAATCTCCGAAACTAGAGACCGGTTGTTGTAAAATTTTGTATATATATTAGGAATATCGTGTAGATGGTAAAACACTAACCAAAATTTCTCGCCATCGACATCTCCAACTCTTACTAAACTAAATAACATACTCCTCTACTTGTAGTTTATGAATCCATAGATATCCAATTTTTTTAAAAAAATCAAAATTGTATAACAATATTTTTAACTTTGAAATTGCAAAACCAAATGCTTTGAAATTTTGCAAACGTTTTACTGTTATCGTAATAGTAAATGGTTAATCAAAATTTACTGTTTATCCTCTCCTAAAGAAGTCGATGACGTCATCTCAAAATTTTCCGAAAAAATCTAAAATATGTGCAGTATTAAGAGTGAAATGCTTGTACAAGGTGACACAAAAAATTAATGAATGAGGCGACATGTTTTATTGACCACCCCATTTTCCCAAAAAATTGAGATTACAACACTCTTATAGTATATATGACATACGCTTCCTTACTAAAATGCTGACGTCATCAAAAAATTTTATATGGAAAAACTCACTAGAAAGATATACATACGATGCTCCTTTACCTGTACTTTAACAGTTAACACATATATTAATTTTAACACATAGGGGTCATAATAAAAAAATCTCAAAATTAAATTTGATCATTTTTCGAATCCATATTTCTTGGGCTGTACTTTAGGGACGAGGAAAGTTCTGTGGAAATAACTTTCGACTAATTTTTTTATTATTGTCGAAATTTGTGCTTTAATGAGATTAACGTTTCGATATCTGATATTTGTTAAATTTATAAAAAATGTAAATTTAAATAATATCTTCATAACGTCAAACAAAAAATTGGTCCAAAGTTATTTGGATAGAACTTCCCTAGCACCTGAAGTCAAATATTCAAACAAATTCATGCCTTAACTTGCACGGCTTCGACACATTTTTTATTATTATATTATATGAAACAAGCAGCGAATATTGCACAAACAGTTCTGTAAATAAATTGTGAATAATAATCAATGCAGATTCATAAAACACTAACTTAAACTAACTTAAAAAAAATTGGTGGGGATGTTTTTTGTTAGCGTTTTACAATCCACATAACATTCATAACATACACACGGCAGATAGACAGATAGTCAGCCAGACTGAGACGAGAGACTCTTGGGGTCACGAAACGCCGAGAAAATATGAAACTACCCAGTCGTCCGATGGACCCTATTACAATACCGGGCTTACCCTCGAAAAGTAAAAATTATATAGAAAAGCAGTTAAATATTTATCACGCATACTCGTATAACTATAAACAGAATTATGACCCATAAAACATCAAAACAAGATTTTTTCGCACCCCTATATAAATATTAGCATATACGGTACGGAGATGAAGTTTTTACTCTTATTCAGTGCCTATCTAATATTTGTATAAAACTAGATTTTGTTTGGTTAGTACAAAGTCAGTTTTGCACACATGCTTGTAGTGATCACGTAGCTATCTTGGCTACAAAAATAGCCAATATTGTAGGTCTGAGTCATATTCATAAGAACGTATTTCAAGAATAAAGTAATAAATTCTTAAATTTCTTTTAAATTTTATAAAAGTTATGCCGTAGATAACCAAAATAATTTTATATTATATTAAAATCGTTATTCACTCCATTGTTACTGTTAATGATTTAATAAATGAAACCTCAATATAAATTTGTTGGTAATGTTTTAGAATGATTTATTTATCGTAATGAATTTAGCTTCTCAATAACTCAAACTATTTATCATAGTCGGAAAGATATTTATACAAATACTGCATTTTACACGCAGCCTTTTAGATCTCACTTTTCTAATAAAGGCTGCATATCG